TTCTCTTATTTTTTCCTATCAATACTGGATTTCTTTAATTAAACAAACACAAAACAACACTTCAATTTTTTTCTCTGTTCTCCACCTGATTCTCTTTCATTATGTCTCATACTTCATATTATTTTAGAAGTTTAGTTTACTTTTAAGAGCTGTTTGTGGCATACTTCCATGCCAACAAATTACTTTAAAGAGCTTTTCTCTTCCTGATTCTTTTTCATCCAACAAAAGAAATGAAAATCAAATCAACCAACAAAGCATAAATCTTATAAAATAGAGTAATTTCATGTGTATTTCTTTTTTTGTTCTATCTCTCCAATGTTTTTTTTAATCTAACAAATACATATTTGTTTAGAACCAGTTCTAATATGCTGCCACATGTCACCTTATAAATTGACATGTGGCACTTTTCTCTTTTTCTTATATTTCTACTAGATTTTTTTCAATTTCAATTTTCAAGATGACACATGACAATATATCAGAGTTGTTTACGAAAAAAACTTTACTATATTTTAAAGTTAAAAACAAAAGTGACATATGTCATTTTCTTAGATGTCACATAACAGCATACCAGAGCTGCTTCTGAAATAAAAACTTACTTTATTCTGAGAAGAAAAAACTAAAACGTTGTTTTTGTGTTTGTTCGATAAAAGAGAATACAGTAAAGTTAGAAAAAAAGTAAAAATAACACATGACCATACTATATTATATAAGATTTGTTTAAGTGATTTGATTTTTGTTTCAGTTTATTGGATGAAAGAGAATAATTTAGAGTGAAAGAAATAAAAACTTAAGCTTTGTTTTTGTGTTTGTTTGATGAAAGATAACTAAATAGAAATAGTTAAAATAAAAAAAATAGCATATGTCAAATTTTTAGATGTCACGTAGCAAAACTTTACTTAATTAGAATAGATGATAGATACAGTATGTGGTTATATTTTTATAGAACTCTCATACCAACATTTTCTAATTAAAAATGAGAATGAATTTTCACTTTGATCCATGACAGTTTGTACTCCTATACCTGCCAATAAACCAAACTTCTCAGAGAAACGAACGGTTGAACCTTTATGGCTTCCATACATACACAGAAACATCAATGGTTCTCATAAACACTTCCAAAAGTTTCTAAGCATTTGCCATCTCTCTTTTTTTTTCTCTTTTTTCTTGAGGAAGATGATAATGGTATAACTTCTATATGAATTATTGATAGAGTGATTTATCTTTCTTTCTATGTTTCGAGGAACCAGCAATTTTCTTTTCAGTAACTCGGTGAGTAAAAGTTAAGATAAAACAGAAACAAAAATAATATCAACAGCAAAACAAGTTTTGAGGAATGTTTTAGTTGAGTTATAGTTAATATGATGGAAAATGATGAAATGAGGTAAACTGAAATACAATAATCTGTTTGGGTATGGAAGCCAAAAAAAAAAAAAAAATCTGTTTGTGTAGTTCTATTTTTTCCTTCTTGTTTTACTGTATTGTTTTGAATCTCTAGCAAACTATTTGTTGTATATTGCTGGAAATTACAGTTTTTAGAATTATCTTGATCTTGAATTTGTTTACATATTGTGCTTTTTGGACAAAAAAGTATGAATTTTGTTTTTATATTACTTTATCTATTTATTTCTTTTTCCTGTGTTATGTTTTGGAACCATTGGTTTATATTTTTTATACAAAACAAATTCACACTTTTTATGATTATTAATTTTTTTTTTTGTATTTTGGTAAAATAATATCATATATCAAAAAAAAGTTTGTAAATTAATCATTTGAACGTTTTTTGTAGGATAACATCCCTAATATTTTACTCAAGGATAATATAGTTTTTGTGGTATTTTTATAGTTCTAAAAATTGTTAGAAAATAATGATTAGTTTGTAAGTTTGATATATAATATTATTTTATCAAATGACATGAATAATTAATTTTTTGGATGCAAATTGATTTTTCTTTTTTTCGAAAACAATTAATCAACACAACAATAACACTCAAGTCTTTCCATGGCTTGACATCTCAGCTTTTTTAAACTTTATAAACATGACACCTCAGCAAAAGTAATCATCAATCAAAATATTTTATTAATACATCTCATCTACTTATTTTAATTTTTAAACTTAAACCCATTAAAAACTCAGATATTTTTTCTGTTAATTTTTGTTTTTTTTATAAAACATAAGCCCAAATAATTAATAAAAGCAAATAAAAATTATTATTTTATTTTTTACTAAATCCAAACCCAAATAATAAATAAAAAATTTAAATTTAAATCATTATTTTTATTTTTTGCAAACACCAAATCAAAATAACAAATAACAACAAATAAATAATAAAAACAATTCTAGCTATCTGTTTGTTTGACAAAGACGTATATGATTGAAAAAGTGTAAGCTCACCATCAACTATGCCATGACAACAACGCAAAAAGCCTTATGTTATAAGAAGCTCACACATCAGCAAAAATTTGAACAGATAAAAATATAACAATTTTTTAGTTTTCGCGGGAAAACACAATTTCATGGGAGATAATGCAATTTTTAGTTTTTGCGAAAAATTGTAATTTAGTTTTTTGTAGGAAAGCGTGATTTTGAGCTTTTTTGGCAGGAATAGACGATTTCACAGGAAAAATAAATTTTTCAATTTTGGCGGGAAAATAAAAAAAAAATTGTTTTTGCAGGACGATGAAATTTTTTGGTTTTTGTGAAAAAACGTAATTTCTCGGCTTTGGTGGAAAAATACAGGTTCTCGCTGGAAAATGAAATTTTAGGTTTTAGGTTTGATGAGAAAATGAATTTTTTAGTTTTTGTGGGAATAGCCGATTTCTCAATTTAATGGAAAAATGAAGTTTTTTTTTGTTTTGACGGGAAATACGATTTCTTGATTTTTGTAAGAAGATGAAATTTCTCTATGCTAAATTTCCAAGTTAAAGTATGTTTACAGTAACCAAAATTTAATTATTTAACTTTAACTAAAACAATATTTTAATAGTTCAAACATAATTTTCTATTTAGTTCAAGGCAATAACAATGGTTTTGATATGAATGTTATTGATTATAGTTTGGTAGTTTTAGAAACATATGTTTATAATAAAATATTTGATAAATAAATAAATTTTATAATTCAAAATAATCATATTAATTAATAAATCTTTTTTTAAATGACATTTTGCTTTATATAATTACAAAAGAGGATCATGTGGCAATTTGTTGGAGAAAATAGATTACATTTGCCATTAGCATGAAGGTACTAAAAATGTATTGTTTTATTCTTGTATATTTTATTCCTATATATACATTTATAATTAGTTAGATAACTAAATTTAATAGCAAATTATAATTTTGAAAAATAATAAAAAAATATATATATAATGTTTATTCAGATTTAAAACATATAAATATATAACTTAAGCTAATAAAAAATAAATATAATACTCATTTACATTATAAAAATAATTTTATTATATTAAAACTATATACAAAATTTAGAAAAATATCCCGCAGCATAGCGCAAGTAAATAATAACACTAAAGTCTTTTCATGACTTGACACCTCAGCTTTTTAAAGCTTTATAAACATGACACCTCAGCAAAAATAACCACCAATCAAAACATTTTATTAATACAGCTCATCTACTTTTTTTAAAACTTAAACTCACTAAAAACCCAAATATTTTTCTATTAGTTTTTGTTTTATTTTTTACCAAACTCAAGCCCAAATAATTAATAACAGCAAATAAAAAAATCATTATTTTATTTTTTGCCAAATCCAAACTCAAATAATAAAAAAAATTAAATCATTGTTTTCTTTTTTTTGCCCAAACCAAATCTAAATAATAAATAACAACAAATAAATACTAAAAAAATTCTAGCTATCTGTTTGTTTGACATAGACGTATATATTGAAGAAAAAGTGTAGGCTCACCATCAACTATATACTTCCATGACAACAACGCCAAAAGTCTTATGTTATAAAAAGCTCACACATCAGCAAAAATTTGAACCGATAAAAACATAACAATTTCTTAGTTTTCGCGGGAAAACACAATTTCACGGGAGATAATGCAATTTTTGATTTTTACCAGAAATTGTAGTTTATTTGTTTTTATAGGAAAGCGTGATTCTGAGCTTGACTAGAAAATGATTTTTTTTTTTGGCAGGAATAGATGATTTCTCAGTTTTTGCAGGAAAAATCAATTTTTCGTTTTTGGCGGGAAAGTACAATTTTTTTTGTTTTTGCAGGAAGATGAAATTTTTTGGTTTTTGTGAAAAAACGTAATTTCTCGGCTTTGGTGGAAAAACATAGGTTCTCGCGGGAAAATGAAATTTTAGGTTTTAGGTTTGACGAGAAAATGATTTTTTTTGGTTTTGGCGGGAATATGCGATTTCTTAGTTTGATGGGAAAATGAAGTTTTTTTGTTTTGACGGGAAATGCGATTTCTCGATTTTTGTAAAAAGATGAAATTTCACTGTGCTAAATTTCCAAGTTAAAGTATGTTTACAGTAACCAAAATTTAATTATTTAACTTTAACTAAAACGATATTTTAAGAGTTCAAATATAATTTTATATTTAGTTCTAAAGCAATGGCAATAGTTTTTATATGAATGTTATTGATTATAGTTTGGTAGTTTTAGAAACACATGTTTATAATAAAATATTTGATAAATAAATAAATTTTATAATCTAAAATAATCATATTAATTAATAAAAAGATTTTAAATGACATTTTGCTTTATATAATTACAAAAGAGGATCAAGTGGCAATTTGTTAGAGAAAATAGATTACTTTTGCCATTAGCATGATGGTACTAAAATGTATTTCTTTGTTCTCATATATTGTATTCCTAACTAAATTTAGTAGCAAATTATAATTTTGAAAAATAAAAATTATATAATGTTTATTCAGATTTAAAAAATATAAATACATAACTTAAGCTAATAAACAAATAAATATAATATTCATTTACATTATAAAAATAATTTTATTATATTAAAAATCATAGGGCTGGTAAATAGCTAGTATCCATAAAATTGTGTATCATTTTGCTCTGCAACAGCCAGAAAAAAAAATACACCAAAGAAATGGATTCTCTTCGTCTTCTCCAACCTCTCAACAGTCTCTTCTTTCCTCAGCAGCGAAGTTCTCGTTTGATTCATTTATCAACCTCCTTAAAACCTCTACTCTCGAAAAAGCGCAATCTCTCGAAGCCCTTGACTCTCACATTTGCTCTTACGGAATCAAATTCTCCTCAACCTCTACAAACAAACTCGAAATCTCTTCTCCTAGAACTCTCTGTAATTGAAATTCTCTGATTCGATATCCTTTCTGATTATGATGAGTTAAAAAAAATTGAATTTTGTTGTTGTTTTCGTGTTGCAGAAGTGTTTCGATCTTCCATCAGATTACTTCCAACAGCTACCAAGTGATCTTCGTCTCGATGTATGCCCTAATTAGCTTCCTCACTACTTTCAAACTTCCAAATTTTTTATTATTTTGTGAGTTTTGTGTTTCTCTACAGTTAAATGATGCTGCCTTTGATCTCTCCAATGGACCCATCATCGATGAGGTTAGTTCCTGCTAAGTTATCACCAAATCAACACTATACCAAAGATTCTCTGAAGATCTCCTTGCAACTGTGTTGAAGAATATCTGTCTTCTTCCATTACCACACCTCAATTGTCATTTGACTAATGTCTCTTTTGACTTAGCTTCATTGTTCCTGTGTTGTCTTCCTATTGCTCTAGAACTTGGTTTGTCTTCTTTGCCATTGGTGTTTTGCTCCTTGATTTGGTTGGAGAGGAAGAGAGGATTCTCAATCTTTATAGTGTTTTTAAGCTCCTTGACTTTCTTAAACTTTGTGAGACTTATGATTGCAACATCTCAAATCTATTTGTTAGTGTGGTCAAGAGCTTGGGGAGACCTTACTGAATCTGTCCCGTGCTTGGGAACAAGCTGACACATCAACTTCTCGTAGTTTAATGAAGAAACTTCCCGAACTGGAAAGTTCATTAACAGATGGTGCCAAATCAGGTAACAAGAAGTAGCTCTATAGAGTATGTGGTTACGTATCCTTTCTCTTGTAATCATCATACTCTTTTTTATCTGTTCAGCCTTTGGGAAGCGTCTGATATCTGCGGGGAAAAGATTCAAAGGCATGGGACAGTATGGTCAAGGTGAATTACAGAAGGTACCTTGAAATGTAGGTGTGGTTTCTTCTACTTATTGCTTGTAAAACTTAACAGCCACAGTAATAAGCAATCAAACTATTCGTCTTGTACAAATCATCCATGCTTACAAGAACTAACCTTGCTGAGAACTCGCAGATTGCTAAAGCCATGATTGCAACTGGAGAGGCCTTAGCTGCAAGTGCATCATCTGCATCAGTCAGTTATGAATCCAAGTCGCAAACAAGGATGTTTAAGGTAAAGCAGCATAACAATATGGTTCCTCTTGTACGTTCACTGAAGCTACTTTGCTGATTGAGAGATTTCTGCAGTTTGGGGAGCTTCAGGTTGCTGTGAGTCCAGAGAAAGCCTACGCCGGAGCCGCCATTGCATTCGTCTTTGGGTATTTGTGGAAGATTGTTCATTGCTTTTTGACGACTGTGTATCACACTTTATAACACAGGCATTGAAAATAACAGTTCATTTTTGGATCAAACAGCATACTTTCATGGCAAGTCAGTCAAGGGATTCAAAACATACCAGAGAGCTCATTGCAGTATGCAAATGACAATGCATTGCAACTCGCAAAGGTTGGTGGATCAAACAAACAGCATTACTACAGTAGAGTATATTGACATTTGTTCTAAGGGGTTTGTGAATTGACATTTTTGTAATGTTTTGTCTTCTTCTTGGGGCAGTCTCTTAGAGGATCTCTTCTTGCTATGTTTTATGCGTCGACCGTCTTGTCAGGATTCACAACAGTTGGGCTTCTCTTACTCGCTAAGCAGCTTTCATCAGAGAGAGAGTGAAACTTTTGTTAGCCTAATCCTTCGATGATGGTCAATGAAACTTTTGTTAGTCATATAATCCTTCCGTGATGGTCTCTTATACTCTCTCATGTTCAGGGCCAAATATTGTATCTACTACAACTTCAACTTTTTTAATTTTATCAGTCCATTAAATTCTGGAATGAGTTGAGTGTACATATTTTCTTAAAGAGAAAATGAAATCTCTGTTACGAGTAACTGAAGTCGTTTATATGAATGAATCAGAGAATACAAGTTGGATGATTTAAAGTTTAAACCACAGCTAATGTTGAATGTACTCTGGAAACCGGTTTATTCGATACCCTTTGTTGTTTCCTTATCCATTCCATTGCTACTCCATATCTCTTTGAGTCTCATCAAGACACTGTTGAAAAAACATTTTCAGTAATTAGAGGTTCCATGAAGAAACATGAAGCTTTCATTCTAAAAAACAAGGTAAACAAATGGAAATAGATGTATACATACTTGTTATCAAGGGAGGGCATTAGCTCTTTGACAACAGAAACAATGATCGACTCATTTGACTTCTCTTGCAACGATGAAGCTTGCTTTTCTTCACTCCCTGCAACACAACGAGATTTCGGTACAGATATAGACAATAACACAAGTCGAATGAATTTGTACGAGGAACCTCACCTTCTACAGGTTCGCCTCTAAGATATGAACGTTCGTCCGCTTCTAATTCTACGCCTTCTCGGTCAGCGAATTTCTCTAGTAAGCGGCCGATTAAGTTATGTGCAACCAAGCTTGTCTCATCACAAATTTCTTGGACGGCTAGGTACTGGTTCTTGTTTCTTCTGAGCGGATTCTGCTCACCATGATGATCATCACTCTGTATGTTTTCAACAGAAAATAATGAACGAGAACTAAACTGGTTATCATCTACTTCCATCTCAATATCCCTCTTAACCTTGCTCGTATCTATGTCATGTCTACCACTGTTAAGTGTTGATTTATTAGACGTGGGTGTGACAAAGAGAGAACTACGATGAGCTCTTGTAACACTCTCTGACAAGTCTCTTACAACGACCGAAGAGCTCACACGCTGCTGGTTGATTGTGTATGTAGAAGCAGCCAGATCCAAAAATGAGCATTCTGCACCACCTTCTTCATTATCCGGAGACGAGGAATCACTTGCATCGTCCTGAGTACCATCATCATCATCATCATCACTGTCTACTAGCTCCTCCATGTAAGCATCACCAAAGTCCTGCTCAAGCTCATAATGTGGTATACATTGCCAAAACATTTGCTTCACTTGAGCACTCACATTCAACACACACTCCGTCTCTTCCTCAATCGCTTCCCTCGGAAACTCCTTATACTCTACATTCCGCGGACTCTCGTTGACCAACGAAAGAGCCTTCGTTAAAGACTCTGGAATAATGTCCATATCACTGCACTCAAACAGATACTCAATCAACATCGTTTTAACCGCTAATCTTAAGCTGTTGTTTGATACTTTGGCTTCTGGGTCTAAGATAAGACGCAGACTTTCAAGCTCATCAATACTAACCACGTCACTACTGATTAACCAAACCGCCTTCACTATCTCGTTCTGAAGTTTCTTCGTTTCCGGTGACAACTGCAAAAAATCTGCGGCGGCGACAGCTTTGTAGCCAGAACTTACTTTAAGTGATAAATCAGCTAACAACACCGCCTTAGCCAATGGTTCCTGAAGTTTATCCCCTGTAGAAAGCATCTTCTCGCTAGCTTGCCTCACTTGGTCCATCAGTTTGCCTCGACTCATACTGCAGCTACTGATATTAAACCGAGGAATCGTTCTTGAGCCTTTAAGTTTCCTTTTCATTGCAAGTAGAGTCTGAGTCGATAGCTTATCTAGCTCGTTAAGTACCTTAGTTATAGCATCACGATGGGACTCAAACGTTGGTGTTGACAAATCAATCTTGCAATTTTTCCGAAAATTTCTAGGATCACTAAGAACTTGATGCATCTGCTTAACAATGTCTGCCGTTCCTGTATCGTCTCTTCTCTCTCTGAAGTCTCTGCGGATTGATTCTCTGATGATCTTTTTCATTTTCGATCGGGTCTTCTCGAACGAAGTAGAAGTAGAGTCTCTTGTGACTATCGTTGCAATGAGATATAGACCCTTTGTCGTCAAAGAGTCAAGACTCAAGTCAAGCGTTTTAACAACGTCTTTAGTGCAGAGCTTTGACTCCTTTTGTGGAACCTCTCCCTTCTTGCGAATTCCAAATCCTTCTTCTACACGTGACTTTACAGTCTCGTAGAATATCTGGAAAAAGCAAACAGAGGGAGAAACAAAAAGAAGACTTGTGAAGACTGGAGATCTCATTGAAACAACTGTGAAACACTTATATACATAAAGAGAAGTATACCTACATCATCTTCCCTGAGCAAAGATTCAGGGAGGAAACTGTGAAAAAAACAACAGAGGAGCTCATCAGAGTCTTGTAATCATCTAAGCAAAGCAGCATAACATACATAAACTCAGTACGTAACTCACTCGGATTCGAGAAAGTCTGATTTTTCCAGAGTATGATCCTCAGAAAGACCCAACAGCCACCTACGAGTGTTGAAAGTGCTTCAGCGAGTGTACCATATACATCAAAAGACAGGGAGATTGATTCGAGATCAAAGCAGCCGTTACAACTATGATCCAAATTCGAGAATCGTGTAACCCAGAATCTCAAATTTCTCGAAGTTTTCTAATGGAAATTTGGAGGGAGAGGCGAAGAGAAAGAAGAAAACCTTCTCTTGAGTCGAATCCGCTCCTCTTGATCCTCAAGCTGTGAAACTATCGAATCACAATCCGTCTGGAAGAAATTTGAGCTATTACTATCCATCGCGAACTTCTGAGAGGCGAATTAGCAGGAGGAGGAGTTTTGGATTAGGAATTAGGGTTTATTAATCATATCTCGTTAAATCGGGATTGTGAAGTATCAGATTTTTGGATTTAGGAATTAGGGTTTATCAATGTACACAACTCAATGCCTGAGATAGTGAAATCGTCTACAATATCGATCTGCAATGCTCCTTTTTTAACTTAAAAGTTTTATAAATTTTTTGTAAATGGAAAAAAGGGGAAATTACTGAAAACCAAACCAAATCTAATCAAATTACCATTTTTATCTGGGTTTAATCCAAGAAATTTGAGCTTTAATAATAGATCGGGTTTACCCAAAAATCATTCGAATTTTTTTCAAAATTTTCAAATAAGATGATATCGATCTCACACGAACCGTCACCGAAAGAGTCTCTTATCGAAACCGGAAAAAACCCTAACGGCGTTAGAAACAGGGAGAGAGATTGACATCGACGGAGAACTCGATTTTGCGGAGAACAAACGATGGCGAGGACGAGAAACATGCGTAAGGAAAATCCGAGTCCGAGTCAGAAGCCGGCGGTAAAGAAACGTAAGACAAAATCGGGAACGACAGAGGCGATTCCGGGTGGAGAGGCTCCTCCTCCTCCGATTGTCGAAACACAAACGACGGAGGGGTTCCGGCTCGAGAGGCTCATCCTCCTCCGATTGTTGAAGCAGAAACGACAGAGGCGGCTAACAAGACGTTGAAGAAGATGTAGGAGAAGATGGAGAAGAAAACGGAGAAGAAGACGGAGAAGAAAGCGGAGAAGAAGACAAGAATGAGTAACCGGAGGTGGAGATGAGTCAGAAGGAGAAGCCTCCAGTGATGGTGATTCCGATGGAGAAGACAGAGAACAGGGTGTGGATAGCGAGGCCGAGGAGTACGAGACAAAAAGCGAGAGAGACGACCGGAATCCTGTAAATTAATTATCTCATTTTCAATTCTCTTTTGCATTTTGATCACAATTCTCATTTCTCAATTGTCAGAAATTGTAAAACTAGGATAATTAGATAATATTAGTTTGTTGGTAAAACTAAAAAAATTAGGTAAAACTAGTACTATTTTGTAATATTCTGAGTTTGGTATTAATATTGTATGTATGTTGCAGGGTACCTTTGAAGAGACGATTGCCATGCGACCAGGCATGTACTTGAAGCCTGATCAGTATAACAAAAGCATTAAACTATCAACCCGGTGTTTCGTCCAAGAAGTTATGGAGACGTTTGAAAAAGTGGATCTGACTCCGACGGAAAGAGAGTGGTTTGAGCAGCATCTGCAGTTCTGCCACATTCTTCACATGTCGAAGAGCAATCATATGGTTCAACTATTGTGGATGTTGTTGCTGCGTACTGCTAGGATCGAAAGGAAGAAGGAGGCTTGGTTTGTGGTGAATGGCGTTCCCGTCCGATATGGGTTACAAGAGCATGCTTTGATCTCAGGACTCAATTACAGCAACTACCCTCTCTACTAGAATAAAAGAGGCAAGTCTTACATGAAGCAAAAGTATTTTCCTGACAAAAAGAAGGTTTTAAGGGAGGACGTAAAGAAAAAGCTTGAGGAGATGGGCCCGGATGATAGTGGAGATAGGCTCAGGATGGCGGTGTTGTATTTCTTGAGCAGCATCATCTACTCTCCCCCAAAACCGGAGACAACGCGAACCCCGTGCTCGAAGTATTCTTAAAATACGCTGATGATTTGTATAAGTGTAAGACATTTCCTTGGGGGAGATTGTCTTTTGATCGCATCTTAGAATCCATTTCGGATACGATGAAGCACTTTGTTGAGAAGAGGTTGGGCATTGCATGGTCGTTTTCTGGTTTTTGCATTCCTTTGGAGGTAAAAGATTGTCTTTTGCATTGTTTTCCTTTTCATTTTAAGTTAAGTCTAATTATATGCGTGTGTTTGTAGCTTTTGGCGATGGATGCCATTATGCCACTGAGACAGAGCTTCCGAGAAGCTGTACTATATCCTAACGTCGATTGTCCGAGGATGTGCAGGTCCAAATGGAAGAAATGCGACCTGAGAGGCTGGCCACTTGAGACTGTGTATGAAAAGCTCGGATGCGAAAACAAGGTTAGTAGTAATTGCAGATTTGAAAAATACAAGGAAACTTGTTAACATTGGCTGTTTAAATGTGTTAAACTTGACAGGACATTGACAGTGTGCTGATAGCTTCGGAGGAGGAGAATGCGATGTTGGATTTGATAATGGAAATGGAGGACAATGATAATGAGCATGATCCTGTTGTGGAAAGTTGGGAAAAATGTATTGATAATGGATTCACGGTTGTGTTTGAAGACATGAAGGAGGAAGATGTGAAAGGGCGAGAAAAAATGGTGGAGGAAAGAGGAAGGAAAAAACTCCAAGCTAAGAAAATATCTCTGGAGGATGTCGTCAGCGCGATGGAGACCATGGCAGAGCAGTTGGGTTTGCTCAACAACATGGTCCATAAAATTGATGACAGGATAAAGCCACTTGAAGACTGTGTGAAAGCGAGAAAGGATTCAGGCTCTTGAACAATGTTTGTTTTTATATTTGGTAAAACTTTTTTTTTGATTTGGAACTAGTACTTTGTTTTTATTTTCGATCTCGGATGAACTATTTTTTTAATTTGAATTATTGAATTCCAGTATTATTAGGTAAAACTAGTCCTAGTAAGTGTTGCTAGAAAAAGAAATACTAAGAAAAGTTAGTAATACTAGGTGATACTAAAAAAACACTAAGTAACATTAGTAATACTAGTAGCCGCCATTGATAACTTAGACGATTTCTCCTTAAGAAAATACAAGCAAAATGGAAACATTAGTCTTGAACAAAAATTAAAACAACAACTAAAGAAAATTGCAGATTCGTTAAGTCTTGAGCTTGGCTATCTCTTCGGCTTGGATCTGAATCTGTTTTCGCATTTCTTCAATCGTCTTGCTCTGCTATTCAACTTTCGTAACTAGCTTCTCAATCTCTTGTTCGACTCCGAAAAGGCGAAAACCCATGGCTGACAAAAGTGGAGTCCATCATCCTAGCAAAAAAACAAGCAACATCCATTATAGTTATAACTAGTATTCCAAGTTTACACCCGAAGAACATCTAAATAGTTTAACCTAATTTTACTAGTTTTACCTAGATAAAACCCAGATCTGAAATTATAGAGATTATACCTTAAATTTGGTGCAGGTGAAGTACCTACTACCTGGTTGAGTATCGAAATCGTGTTTAAATTTTGGAGAAGGAGATACATTGTGCTTGATATATCCACCACATGGGCATCTTGTCGGAATCCCATATTGGCCGTCGACGATGAATCCAACCCTGTCCCAATGCTGCTTCATCTTCTCCATTTCCTTGCGGTGCCTCTTCTCTTCCTTCAACTCCTCCTCGTATGGGGCGATGAGGAATTTGTCAGTGTAGTGATAGCTACAATCCGAATCCATTTGGATCATGTGAGAGAGAGGAGAGATCAATTTTAAGAGAGAGAGGGAGAGGAGAGGATGAGAGAGTACTCGTTCTTTGAGAGAGAGATGAGAGATCAATTTTAAGAGAGAGAAAGAGATCGATTTTAAGAGAGAGAGAGTTTGAGAGTTTGTAATGAATTTTAGATTAGAACGAAAAATTTTGAAAAATTACACTCTCCTGCGAAAAAATTCAATTTCCCGCCAAAAAAATACACATAGTAATACCAGATTGTTAGTTATACAGAATCTTGAAATAGTATTACACCACCTAAAACTTATATTAAATCACCTAAAACTTATATTTTCTAGTATTACAGTTGAATTATATGGTTTTCCATATGAATATCGTTGTCCTATGCAACAATAGGTTTGAATGTGGTATTTTTGTACCATTCACTTAACAAGTTGGTTCTCCATAAGAAAGTGTTTCTTAAAAGAATAAGAGAATGTTAAAGGTCGATATTATAACTCTGGTGCGACAATAAGTTTGAACTCGTGTTTTGTTAATTCTTAGGTTTGTATGACATATAAGTTATAGTTCTAACAAAATTAACTAATTTATGTGATTAGTTTTGGTTTTTAAATAACAATACATAATTACTTTGAAAAGTCACCAATCATGCATAGTTATACCAGTATTACACATAAATCATAGCATAGTACTACAAAAGCAAAAACGAGTCACACGTAACAAAAGCTTATAACTTTTACATCATGCAAAGTCTTCTCCATATAGTAACCCTGCTATTGTCCTTCTCCGCTTAAGTTTGTTCAGTGTCCTTCCCCTTCGGCGCCTTTCTTCCGTTGATGAAATTTTTTTTTTCTTTTGGACGACCCTTTTTCTTGACGCGATCCAGAGGTATTATCTCCTTCTCCATGATGTAACCCGATACATTCCACGCAGACATATCGGCCACCACGTAGATTGATCTGTTATAAGCCAATATCCACATCTCCGTGAAATAGTATTTCGAACACAAGTCATAATATTCTATGCGGATATCACGCCTTCCATTATTCTTGAAGGAAATGAAAGCGGCTAATGCGTGGATACAAGGATACCTATGAATATCGAAGAACCTGCAACTGCAAGTTTTATTGGACAAGTCCACCAAATAAAACTTTCCCTCTACTGACATGACTTCGTATTCAAGGTCACAACCGTTTACCTCCCTTACATCTAATTTCTCAGCTATAGGCCAATTGTCGTGCAAGAAGTTCTCAACCAAAGGAACCAGTTATGAGCACTCGTTCCTACCACGGACTCGTTCCTATGCTGGTTAAACCAATCAGAAAACTTTCGAACTATTGTATCAAGCATGGGTATTAAGGAGTACTTCCTCGCATCCCTAAAAGTTTTATTTAGAGATTCCACGGAGTTGCTTGTGTCGAGGTTGTATCTAGCAACCGGAGAAACACATCTTGCCCACTTTTGTGGCACGGTGGTCTCCTCCGCATACTTCGCCACTGAAGAAAATCTCTGCTTAAACGCCTTATAAAGCATATTGAACTGAGCCACTGTATGAGCCTTACCGCACTGTTGGAATTTTTTGGCAACAACGGCTCTGCTTGCGCTTGGAGCATTACCTTTCACGTTTTGAGCCAAATGCCATAAGCAAATCCCATGATGAGCTTGTCGATAGACGTTAGCTACGGCGTTGATGAGGCTGGTATTTCTGTCACTCACAAATACCAACTCTGAAGAGTCGTCTACAACAGTTTTCAGCTTCTCGAAAAACCAGCACCAACTAGCATTGTTCTCGCCGTCGAGTACACCGAATGCTATGGGATAAATGTGACGATTTGGATCCTGAGCTGCGGCGAAAACAAGTACACCACCAAATCCGGCCTTGAGAAAATTTGCATCCACCACAATCACTTTCCTCATGAACTGAAACCCATCAATGCAAGCTCCCAAAGCTATGAATAAATACTTGAATTTTACCACCATATCCAGTTCCACAGCTGTTTTCGTACCCTCATTCAGCTCCTCTAACACGTATAAATAACGATACAACATCCTGTAGTTATCTTACAGAGTACCACACATGTCAGAAATTGCTTGATTCTTCCCTCTCAAAGCCGTGGAGTATGATATCTCTACACCAACTTTCCTCTTTATAAGTGTCATGATTTCTCTAGGATTTGGAGTCTCGAGTTTCCCGGGATAATGCTCACTCACAATAGCTGCAACTAGTCGTACTGATCATCTCCTCTTCACGCTGCCTTCTTCACTCTGACTAGCACGATTACATGTGTGCATATTCCTGTAAGTTCTAATCGAAAAAGCATCCGATTTTGCTATCTTTGCTGCTCGCATGTGCCACGTACAACTTCATTGCGTGCATTTTACCACCCATCGCTGAGTATCAGAATTTTTTATAACAAACCCGAAAGATTTAACAAATGCGCCTCTATGAACCACTTCTACAACAACATTATTACTAGGAAATTCTTGATCAATACTCAAATCCAAGCCGTCTTTCCATGGCTCTAAACTCTGACTACATTCAACAACAGGTGGTCCCTCAACATAATAATCACGTCTATCCGATGATTCCACACTGTTACCCCCACCATCATCGTCGTCGTCATCATCATCATCATCATCCTCATCATCATCATCATCATCATCATCATCATCATCATCATCATCATCATCATCATCATCATCATCATCATCATCATCATCATCATCATCATCATCATCATCATCATCATCATCATCATCATCCTCTTCTTCTTCTTCTTCTTCTTCATTTCTTTCTCCGTTGTCAACATGCAACGTTATGGCATTGGGTCCTATTGGTCCTATTTCTCTGCTTTCATCATCAATGCGCTGCGAATCTTCATAATTCATACCATAAGAGCTTCTCCCCGCTCTCGATTGTTGCACGGGCAGTTCCGGTGTACTCATCAACTCCACAATCAAAACACATCTGCGGTTCTCATTATCAACATGCGATAGATATACCAACAGATCCTCATCATCACAAATATACGACTTTTCCTCACATCCAGCCAATCTAGCAATGTAACTCAATTGCAATTTAATCTTACTTTCATCTAACCCAAGCTTCTTGTATAACCTAGCTTCTATCATCGGTATTGTTATCTCATCAACTGATGTCTTCAACACTAGACCATTGATGCGACCTTCGCATTTATAATGTATGGTGACGTAGTTGCTCATTTTAACCTGCCCAATAAAATCCAAAAAAGCTCATTCAATACTGTTTTTTTTGTTCCCAGTTATATACTAGTTTTACTAGTTATACATCATTTCTCAGTATTTCTAGTATTACTAGCTATACTATTATCGCAAGACCAAGATCCAATTCTCAGATCCAGTCGATTTTGAGATTTCAAAAACTTACAATTCACTACGATTCAGCCACTGTAATGCATTTGTAGCCAATATAGAGTCATATTCAACCCAGAAAAATTCGTTAAACACCAATGTGCATGAAATCCAATTCAATCTATCATTTCTCCTAATTTTCAATTCCTAAAACCAAAAAATTCCCCAAAATCTCCAAAAATTAACACCAATGATTCATTGCAACCAAACGAACCTCAATTTTGGACCTCAATGAAGCTCTGGCGGTGCAACTGCGGCGAACGTCGTCTCCGTCTCTCGTCGGGAGGGAGAGAGAGAGACAAAAGAGACAAAATGGTCAATGGTCAATCTCGGTCAATGGTCAATCATTAATGGCAAAATGGTCAATCTACATTACAAAGCGTATTGTGGATCATATGAGTGATAGAGATCATTTGATTTCTCATAAGAGTATATCAGATGATGACTCGCCTGAGATACCCTCGCCAATGAACTTTTGATCTGAATTGCTCCCGTTTTAATTGAATTTAGTTTTCATTTTTTTTTTAAATTGGAAAAATTGGTCGATATTTTCTTTATTTTATATATGCGGGTTTAATAAAATACTAGATTAAGATTCCTCAGTTTATGTATGCACCACATAGACAATGAATGGATCTCTGATACAGCAGAAGACTCGTTCTTAGTTGAATCACTCAAGCTAAGACAAGACTAGGTTTTCTAAACAAGCAGCGGCTTGAAGAAAGTTCGGTTCTTTATTGATGATCAAAGGTAAAAACGATACAACGCTACAGGAGAGTTTTATAAACAGCTCATCAGCTAGCTATAGGACCAAAATAAA